TAAATTATTCTAAATTACCTGGGGACGATCAGCTCAGTGGATATATGTCGAGGCCGTTATTTCAAAAGAAAAGAAAGAGGGAAAAAAAAAAAAGGCCAGCTCAGTGGATATATGTCGAGGCCGTTATTTTAAAAAATCGACAAAACGCACATTCTCGCGAGAAACTACAAAAAAGCAAAGTGACATGCAGTTAAAAAAAACGAAAAACAGAAAAAGAACACGCAGGTAAAAGTTTTGAAAAAAAAAAAAAAAATCACCACACAGGTAGAAGAGTCAATGATCCTGAAAAATGATAAGACGAATCTGCCGACACTTCTACCGACCGGTAGCCCGCCGACCAGCTACCGGTAACCGTCGTAAGAATCGGACAGGCTTTCGGAATGAACGCTGACTGACTACATAATTTATAAAATAAATTTAAATAATACATTAGATTTTATTTTTTTTTGTTACAATAATTTATAAAACAATACAACAGATTTTAAATAAAACAAAAGAATACTAATTGATTTTCATAGATTTTAAATTTATTTCAAAGAAAGCCGATTGCCTACATTCTGCTGTAGGAATATCGACCGGTGGTATTTCTACGAGCAAAGTCTATTGTTAAAAAAAAAAAAAAAAAAAAAAAAAAAGTCGACCGGTTAAGGGGATATAGGGCCTCGCTCTCCTACTCACCAATTGTGGAAGACGGGAATGACTGTTCCGCTAGAACATGGAAAGATACATTCCCAATTTGGTTGTCTATTGTGCATGTGGTGAGTAGCGGAGCGAGAGCCATAAGACCAGGAGAGATCAGGGCATCGCTAGACCACAGTCGAAATGTGCACATGGGAATGAACTTCCCGCCAGAACACGGCCAGATGCACCCGCCACATTCTTGTCTTTTTCACATTTCCAGGGTGGTGTAGCGAGGCCGTCAGGTGCCGAAGATCTTCGACAAACAGTCTCCACGTCCGGGGCCAAGTCTCATTACCAGCATTTTTTTATTTTTATTTTTTTGGGAAAAAGGCTTGACTTTCCTCAACGTCCGAGTCTGGACGTGTTTGTAGCTATGTGCCGTTGAGGAAGCTCAACCTCAACGCGATTTCAGCACATATCCCCCAAAACGTCCAGATTCAGTCGTTGCGAAAACTCAACGTTGCTCGTGAAACTTGGCCCCCAGTCTCGGCCTCCTCGCCCAAGATCTAAGTTATCCTACAATGTAGTTTTTTTTTTTGTTTTTTTTTTTCAAATTTTAAGTCGAGATATCATTGTGGAACTGACTGGTAGGGTCGGGTTAAGACCGGTAGGATAGACTAGATTCCCTGTTGTTTCTGTTTCTACTCTGGGGAGGGAGACCAATCCAGAGATTTCTTTCTAATTGGTTCTTGGGAGCAGTTAGCTAGGATGGTAATTTCTGGTATTTGTTGGCTCAGCCAAGTGTTGTTGGGGTAGGCCCACGAACCGCTTCTGGGTAATGGTCCCAGACAGAACTGTGTTTCTTCCGGGTTGTTTGTGAGGATTCCCGGCCTCATGGTTTTATCATGATAATGGACTCCTTGCTTTTTCCCACAAAAAAAAAAAAAACTGACTTGTGCCAGGTAATTCAAGAAATTTTTTTATTTTTTTTTAAACTATACTCTTCTCTCAATTTTTCCTTTCATTCACCTACTTCCATCTGAATTCGGACTCAGGTCTGTATTCCAACAGTTCATGGGTGTACCAACTGAGCTGGGCCCGTTGGTAAATTTTTTTTTTCTTTTTCTTTTTTTAAGACACTTAGATATCTGAGCTTTTCCACGTAAGTTACTACAGCATTATTGAAGTTACAAAAAAAAAA